AATGATCGATATTTGATTATCGGTTTTTCTGCTAAAAATTGTCTACGAAGCGATAAAGGGGGTTCTTGAATTTCAGCCAATACTGCCTGATTAGGTGAGGACATCATATCAGGGATTTACACTGAATACGATCTATGGTTAACAAGTTGGTTTTTGACGACGCAACATATAATGTACATCCATAGTCCAAAATCGAACGTATGTATGACCTATAGAAAATCAGGGAAATGTTAGTATCTGCTCCAAATTTTTGTTTTGATTTTATAGTGCTATATATACGATATTTATGTTATTTTCTATTAATTAACTTTCGGTAAATAGATTAGAATCCGTATATTAATCCTTTTTTTACATATATTTCATATATTATAAGCAGAGCTGAGGTACTCAGTACAAAAACGTACTTGAATGAAATAAATAATCAGTATTTTTTACTTTAAGTATTTTATTTAAAGTATTTATGAACTAACGATACTTTTGGAAATGTACTTATTACATTTGAAAAAAAGTACGATGGCGGATTCATTGATAGTGTCGTTGCGAGGACGGGCAGCAACCGTTTTACAGTTACAGAGTCTACAGGAATTTGGGGCCGACATAAGAAGATTGATTCATCTGCCCTATCCACAGGCGCCCGAAGATATCCAAGAACAAATCGGAATAGAGGCATTCATTGATGGATTACAAGATGCGGAAATGCAGCAAGTCCTTCGTCTACAAAATCACAAGACGCTGAGGGAGAAACTGATTGCAACCCAGGAATATGAAGCGGTAAAACTCCTATCCAGATCTTCTCGCGCAAAAGTGAGGGAAATTAAATCCCAGGAAAGTGAAGAGGCCAATATTAATGCTATTCCCCAACCTACCCTCTCACAGATCTTAAATATCTTACGAAAGTGCAACGAAACAGCCAAAATGGATTCAGGAGATGCTTCAATTGCGCAAGAATCGGGCATCTTCAAAGAACCTGTAGAAGCATGGCTCATTCTATAAATCGAGAATCAGGGAATGAGACCAGAAAATCATATAGATCAATCTTTCCAAGCCCGCCACTAGGACAACAAGAAATAATTACAGCAGCTATGCGTCCCGAAGAAGATCACCCACACCGAGCCGGCTTTCTAACAATAACCAGAAAGTAGAGCATCGAAGAGGTCTCCACAGCAACGCGACATTCTCTTCGGGCAACCCCGTTTAGAGAAACAATGCTGGTATGGTAAAAGGCTCGAAGAACGAGAGGAACCGGTTGATAAAGTTACTTTTCGAGCTACCACTATCAAGCCAGAGGGTGACGAAAAAGAAATCATCCTTGAAAGTCTGAGAAAGTGACATAAGGACAATGACTTAAAGGTTGTCCAAGAATGGCTCAAAAATAAAGTCACACCTACTTGGCAAGAGATAGTCAAATACAGTAGCACTATGAAAGTATACTGGACCCAGTGGATTCCCTGTATCTTCACGATGGCCTATTGCACCGGAAGTGGGAGAGCCCCGATGGAGTACATGTAGTCCGGCAAGTGATACTGCCGAAATCACAGGTGAGACATGTGTTGGATGAGCTTCATAGCAGCCGTTCAGGAGGACACTTTGATACTAAAAGGAGTTCGGGAAAGATTTTATTGGGTCAATTGCCAACGGGATGTAGCGGATTGGTGTAAAAAATGTATGCAATGGCAGGACAAAGGTCTATGGATTCGATCGGGAACGACTGAAAGCCCACACCGATAAAGCAGAAGCTAGAATCGACAGGCGTGCCACAGATACACATTTTGAGAGAGGCGACCCAGGTATAGGCTGTGCAGTCCCAAGCACCGAGAAGGACTGTCAGAAATCGCAACGGAACTGGGAAGGCCCCTACTCCGTACTTAAGGAAAATCAACGACCTGATCTGCCGCATTCAGTTGTCAGCGGGAAGTAAACCCAAAGTAGTTCACATTGAAAAGTTAGCGCCATATTGTGATCCGGGTCCTCCCCGTTGGCTCCATCCAGGTCCCGGTAAACAAGTTATTCGGGTCGAATAACTTGATTGAAACAAATTAAGGGCGGCGTCTGACCATATCTCGAAAACCGTTTTTCTGGACAATTTCTAATTTCTTTTTTATAAAATCGTCCAACAAATGAACTGAAACTAAACTATACATATCTACAGTGTAAATAAATTCTTGGGTATCCGTTCAAATGTTTTTTTACTTGGTAATCTTTCGATTCATAATCGGGTTCATATTGTTACGCAGCACCATGCGGCTGTTATAGGAAACGTACGAATACAAAAAAAAGTGCAATGTTACTCATCGTCCTACAGGATGCTGCAGTGGTCATAAGTAAAAGTAGTAGCAAAATGAGATAGAAGTCCAGAAGTTATTGTAAAAGTTGAGTTGAAATAAATTGAGATACCAAAAACCAGTGTAACAATATTTTTGAACAAAAACAATTGTATGTGTTCATTCTTAAAATTGTTTAAAAAAAAGAAAATGTTTATTTTTACATGTATTTTGTTATTTTTACAAATTTATTGAATTTAATAAAAGCTTTTACCATATTAAAAATTTTTCATTTTACCGTTCCTACAGAAAAAAAAAATTTAAAGAGTAAATGAAAGATTCAAAAGGTATTTTTTTTAATTTTTTTTTTTTTTTTTGAAACCATGAACTAAAAAATGCCCTGAGGAGCAAAAAGATATGGATGTCAATGATAAGCCTTAAAAATATATTATCACATCACTGTTCTTGAAGGTAGTAGCATTACTTTATTGTATTGATGATAATTTATCTCATAATAAGTCGCATAGGTATTGAATGTAGAACTAACCTATGCTCATTTTGTCAAATTCACACTTTATTTTCATAAAAAAACTAAGCCTACATAAAAAATTACATCGTAAGCCATTTTTTAAAAGTTTTATAAAAGTTTTAGAAAAATAAAAAGAAATACTATCTTTTAAAATTAGTATTTTGTGACTTACTATGAGCAAAATGTAAATAAGGACACTTTACTATTGGGTGCATTTTTGATTTATCTCGTATAAAACATTTATTTTAAATTTTAGTAAATTTAGTATGATTTTAGACAAAGCATAAAGTTTTATTAAAAAATCAATTTTTATAAGAAATCGTTAAAAAAATGAGTATCACTGTATATATAATTTATATATTTTGTGTAAATTGGAAATATTAATCATAGTAATATAGTTTTCTTTAAATTCTAGACAATTTTGAAATATGACAACACGGCGTCGGAACTTTCGCTATTTCCCACACAGCGTTGCTAGTGCTAGTACGTTCGTACTAAATCTACTCTTTTTATGTTCTAGTACGTTAATACGCCCAAATACAATTTAGTACGTTTTTGTAGCTGTATCAGAATCAAATGGTCAAAGGCCAGTAATTAAAAAGATCATCAATGTGTGATCTTATCGATCCATTCCATATCACTTCTTTTGCTCCAAAGATTTGATGGGTAATGATGACTGAACAAACATAAAATAAACCTTCGGTTTCAGTTGTATGAAACAAACTAAAACAATTTTTTCAGTTCCAGCTTCTGCAGGCAACGGTTTTAGAGAAATATCGATTATTTTTAAAACTTTTTATTGTGATATGGCCATCATATCCACATAGATATTAGCTTATCTACGCACAGACTACAAAACGAAAAAGTATGCCATTGCGTTCAACTGAAGTATACATTAAAATGAGTGGTATTCTTGTGTAGAATCGATAAATAAGAGCATTTCTATTATGTCGCCTATACCATTTAAAAATAAATCATACATTTTCATAAAACTATATTATGAAATCAATTTAATTACGAGTATTAAAACTAAAATATTATTTGTGGCGATGGTGCAGTGATTAGTTATTTTATCTTAAATAACCTAAAATAATTTTTAGATTTTCGATAGTGGGTAGTAGAAAAAATATACTGTACACTCGAGTGGATTGTTCATATCGCATGACGCCGTAAATTAGTGCGAAATGGCCATCATATCCACTCTTGTTGCATATTTAGCACTTAACTAAAGTTAGTAGGTACTAAATTTGCTGTTTTGCAACGTGAATTATTTTAGAATTTAAAAAATGTATTAATTTAGTTCTAAATTTAGTACTTAATTTAGTATCGTGACAAACAGCCTTAATGGACGATAGTTTTCATTAAATTACAAATAAAATTTAGTACGTTTTTTGTAAATCTAGTAGCTTTTCATTAAAATTTTAGTACGCTTTTATTGATGTTACTGGCAACAGTGTCAGACACCTACTTTCTTCTTTTAGTTCCCGAATCTGAATTCTGAATGAACTAACATTCAATATGGACGCAACAAGATGATCAATTTTATGTGAAATCGTAATCATTATTTTAAAAAGTACGCAAAATCAAAAGTGATTATCAAAATTTGCCAAGAATATGGCGCAGATAAGAAAATGTTAATAATCCAGCACTCGATATTATATTTTCGATTGACGCAATGACGCATTGTTGTAGCATATTGCTTGAGGAATCCATTGATTGATGTATGATTTAGCCCAGCGCCGATAATTTTTCGTTTATATTTTAAATTTTTTCTCCTAAGTAGCCTATCTGCCATACCTATACCTACATTTGATTTTTATTAAATATTTATTTCTTCGAAGATGGATAACATCGGTTTTTATCATTTATATAACAATTCAAGGAGGGAAAATATCTTTATTTTGTCATACCTACCTAGGTATAATCAATAAACTTATAAAAAAATAGAAATAGGTAGGTACCTATCTAATTGAAATATCAATCGATTGTTCTAAACACGCCATATTTCATGTTTTTCTTTTATAATAATTACCTAGGAAAATGTAGAAAACTTTTACTACAGTAAAACTAAGCAAAAGTTCAAAGATATATACATAGGTATCTAATAATTGCGGAAATAAATTTGTAGAAAAGTATAACAAGTAATAATACCCAAGTAAATAAGTAAATTGTCGACCGAATAAGACATACCCGGCCATACCTTATACTACGAAAATGGACTCGTCCGACGCGCGCTTTTCCCCACTCGCCAAAACGACAAAATGTTGGTTGGTGTTGGGTAGAAACAGCTGTAGCGTAGCACGTATACGTAGATTGGATTTACTGTGATATGTGCGAGAAATGGTCGATTTGACATTCTAGCCCAAGTTTGTTGAAATCGAACGGCATTTAAAATATCGAAAATTTAGTTAAAAGTTTCTGTATGGTCGATTTATTTTGTTACCGGTTGATGTTTTTTCGTTATAGTGTTCTTCCTGTGTGTTTTGATCGATATCCGTATTACACAATTCTTAGAAAACGTGTGATTTTGTTCTAATACTTATTACAAATGGCTGGTTAGTAGATACCACATTTTTTATAAACATTTGTTTGATTAAACTAGAAATTTTGGTAATAGACATTTTTTCAATTTTACCATAAATATTACGCATCTACCTACTTAGATCTTTTACTTTTGTATAGGCATTTGAAAGCAAATTACTAAGAACATTTGACTAAAAAATAATTTCTCATTGTTATGGAATTAAAACCATGTTGTTTCTGATTCAGTGCTTATTAGGTAGGTACTGTAATAAACTTGTAATATAATTTTAATTTATTAAAATATGCTTACACTAGTCAAGGTAGGTGACTTGTTTTCTCCAAATATTAAAAATTATTTAAATAGCTTGTTAGTAATAATTGTAGTGTCATAAAGAGGTTAAACATTAAATAAAATAACCATAACTCCATTAATATATTTATAGTAGTGTTATTATCATATCTATAAAGATCAAAAATCTTCAATTATCAAGTACCTTGGTAAAACTGTTGCCATTATTTAACATTTTACTTCACTGGGGATCACTAGACAATACAATATTAATTTTATTAGGGTAATAAATAGTACTTAAAATTTTTTATGTGCACTTCAGCTAGATATAAAGCTAGGTAACAATAATAATTAAAAAGACAATCATCTCGAATCATTTGTATACTTTGTTAGACAGGAAAAAAATATTAAAACCTGCCAATAAATACAGGTAATGTTTTAATATTTATTTGCATGAGTATCACACTGTATTGTAAAGATTTGGTACCTGTTACTGTATGGATAAAAAGAATATATTGAAAAACCATGTTTACCTCATATTTTGCATTTAGTAGACTAGACACAAGACCTTGATTGAAAGGAGTTCTATAACTAACCTAATCATGGCATTCGATTGATTACAAGGTAATAGGTTCTCAAACCATTTATTTCTATGTAGAATTGATAATTACTGAGACATTTTAAATCTACTTTTTATAAATTCAACTGGTTGTCAATGTTTAACAATTTCATACAAAACTGACAGATCTAAATTATAGTCCAGGAAGAAAAGCAATTGAATAAAATTGCAAGTGTTCATTAAAATTTTATGAGTCTGATAAACTTTGACAGAGCTTAAGAATGTGGCCTATTTCAATGACATGAACTGTAAACTACTCACTGTATAAAAATCAGTAAAAGTTTACCAGGCTTGTAAATTTTAAGGGAGGTTCCTGTAACTGGCAGTTAAAACGAAACAAACATTGTCAAAATCGAAGCCGACATAGGAATGAACCAGATTCAGGGGTCTATTCCATTTATTTTGAACTATGTTATTAAAATTTTAACGAAAAGCTCTATTCTGTATTCCATCAGTTTAGTTTTCAGTTATTAGTCAATTTATAACCAGCCCCAATTAAAATAGATATGAATACATAACAAATTAGGTATAAAAATAATTAACCATTCCTAATTTTTGATAAGGTGAACCAGTTTGGTTTTTCTCAGATCTTGATGAGTTTCTGGAAAGGCAGCATTTTTTTCATATCTGTTCTTTGCAAAATCAGGGACCCCTTAAGGTTCAAACCTTGGACCCTTGCTGAGTTATTGTCTTCTCAGGAGTGATAACAACTCGGTTTTACTATTAGATATAGGTTTAATTGCTTAAATTTTTAAATGTAGTGTAAATTATCCTGAAATTTACGTTATTTACATCTAAAAACAAATATATATTATGTAGTTAGGTAAAATAACTTACTTTCTGCACCTTTCCTTTTTATTTACGTAAGACCAATGCATTGTGATCCAGCCAATTTCATCAAATTTGAGTTTTAATCAACAATATACCTTACAGATAAGTTTGGAAAGGAACCTAGATTTATAACAGACATAAGTTATAATTTTAACCAAATATGCCTTACAAATTTTGACAGACGAAACTGAATGCATTATTTAATATATGTATCAATACCTTTTGAAAAAAAAGTTGAGTTAATATTTATTGGTTTACTGAAAACACTCCTTATATAATAGTTTAAACAATTGGAGATGTTTATGCGATAGGTTACTATCTTTGTTACACGTTCAAGAAATAGGAATTCAGGTATGTTCACGACTTCAAAAGTTGTCACAACTCCCTATCAGCAGTCATTTAGATAATACGAGCTTATTGATATTGGACTCTCCAATTTAGCTCTCTTGTATTAATTGTGTCCAACTGAAGACCAAGTTTTTTGCAATTATCAATGTTCAATAACATTCCCTCATTGTTACAAAACTGACTTTTACTTGTATACAGGATGTTATCTTATAATTTGTCTTAATTTATAGAGTGGTCATCTTGGAGAAAAATATTTAGTCACACAATATGTACTTAATTATGAACTACTTTAGTTATTTTTCACAACTAGTTACGTTTTCAGTGCCAATATTCAGGGTGATCCCCATTTAAAATAACATTTGTTTAATTTTTCATGTCATATTTTTAGAATTACCTTAAATTACAATAATATTTAAAAAATATTTTCCATTTTTTGTTTGTTATATATTAGACATCCAAAACTGGTGTATCGATGGTGTTAGCACTGCAGACACTTGGATCTTGATTTCTTTCCTTTCATATTGTGCATGCAACATTGGACAGTATAACCCAATTGATTAAAGATCCTTGTGTTTTTAAAACTAACGCAAAGTGACTGATGATGTGATGGAAGAAGACCTCTGAAATTGGTTTTTTGACGATTACTTTATTTTTGTTACTTAATTTGTCAAATTATTAATATAACCTTTTTAAAAGTCTATATAATTTTCATCAGATTAGGATCCGAAACAGTCTAAAAAATATCAATTTTAATATGAAGAAAATTCATGCTTACTGAACATTGATTCAATTAAGGAAATAGTTTTAATGCAACCTACATCAATTATTTATACATTGTGAATCTAAAGTCCCTCCCCCCTATTTATTTTTTGAACCGTAAAAGTTAGAAATTTGAAATTTTTGGAAACTGAACTAAGGAATGTAAGGTGAAGTAATCATTGAAAATTGCGGACGGGAGCTGTTTTGGAAGAGAATTTTAAATGGCATCATCATATGGCAAGTGATGTGTCATTTGAAAGCTTATTCCAAATCCTTTCCAATGATATCAATAAAAATTAAAATTTTTACTCATAACGAATCCTTTGCTTTAAATTTTTACTGCTATCAATTGGCGTACCTACTATAAATTTTTAACCTTTGGTACTGTACTGTTCTCGTTCAAAAAATAAATGGGAGGTAGGGAGTTTGAGCACGTCACAATCTATTATATAGTGTGTTCCAAAAATGATTATTTATATACATGCCAGTTTTATTTAAAAAAAAAAAAAAATTGTTCTTGATAAGATGTTCTGCATCACTTGCGAATCCATATAACCAAACATTAAATAGGTACGTATACAAGGAAAATAAAAATAAAAGAATAAAATACTTTTAAATTTCAATTGAGATTTCAATATAGAGCTAGATATTATTTAACATGTTGATAAGAATTAAAATATGTACTTAAGTTTAAATCATTGTACTTATTTTTAAGCGATTGCGATTTACTTTATTCAATAAAAAATAATAATACACAACCAATGTCAAATCGTGTAATGGAAATCTTTTAATTAAAAAAAAAAAATCATGCTTGATTATGGATTACCAAGTGATGCAGAACCATTAATCGAGTATCATTTTTTTGTGAAATGTAAACAAAACTTTTTTCATGTTTATAATACTTTTAAAACACATATAATAGATTGTTTTTTTAAAGTTAGACAAATTATAATTATAACACCTTGTATACAAGTAAAAGAGAGTTTTGTAACAATAAGTATCACATATTCAAAGGGAATATTTTTAAACATTGATAATTGCAAAAAACCTGGTCTTATGGACACAAGACTATGAATTTGAGTCCAATATCAAAAAAATTCATATTCAACACCCTGTAGTAACCAAACGGTTGGTGAAAGGGAATTGCAGTAGTGGTAACATTTGATCAGTAGGTCAAAGCCTGAATTTAAAAATCTGATGTGTTCAACACATGACTTTCCTATCTAGTTATTACAGGCTTTTTCCGTTTATTGTGTACAACCTATTGCAGCATCTCTATAAATGTTTAGAGGATAAACTAAATATATATACATTGTCCACATACATCTACCGCGAAACATTTTTCTATAGATATTCATTGAAAATGAAAATACTGAAAAATTTAAATTTAGCACTTTTCCTACAATTTTTCCATTACGGTCCATTAAAAAAAAATCATGTATGAACAAATATTATAGAGATCGATATCGCAAACAACTTTTATTTCAACAATTTTCATAAAAATCAGAATTTTGCACATTTTGTCAAATTTCTCGAATACGGACCATTTCAGGAAATTTTTACATAAGGCAAAAATTATAGATAATAATATTAGAAGTAACTTTTATTTGAACAATTTTCTTCTCCAAACATAAATAACAGATATATTCCATAAAATATATAAACGGCCTCTCATAAAGTACCCCCCCAGATGTTCCGACTTTGTCCAAAATCTAATCATTTCACGTCAGGCCGAAATAAAACTTAAGTTTAAAATTTATTGATTTTTTCTTTATCCGTTTTTGAGTTTTCTTCAAATTTCGAAATTTACACATTTTCTCAAATATCTCGAATACGGTCCATTTTAGAGAAATTATCTATGGGATAAAAATTATAGAGAATTATATTACAAACAACTTTTGTTTGAACAATTTTTGTAAAAAAAAAATATTTTTTTACATTTTGTCAAATTTCTCGAATACGGACCATTTTAGGAAAATTTTGTAAATGACAAAAATTATAGATAATAAAATAAGAAGTAACTTTTATTTAAAAAATTTTCTTCCCCAAACGTAAATAACAGATATATTCCATAAAATATAAAAATGACCACCTATAAAGTACCCCCCCAGATGTTCCGACTCTGCCCAAAATCTAATCAGCTCATTAGACGTTGGAATAAAGCTTAAGTTTGAAATTTGGTGTTTTTCCGTGTATCGGTTCATGAGTTATGCGTTATACAGACACACACACAGACACACACACACACAGACATCATCGCGAAAATAGTCAAAACGGATTCAGGGGACCTCAAAACGTAAAAATCCGTCGAAAACTCGAGGTCGAAAAAAATCATGATTCCTATACTTTCCTTATATCTGTATACAGATAGGAAAGTAAAAAGAATCTCACAGAAAAGGCCATTTCTCAGTTTTAACCATAGGCTTATCAATTTGTTTTTTTTACTGGACACAATAGAGCGCCGTCCTCCGCCCTTATTGTAATTATAATAATAAATAATAATAATTAGCTAATTTAAAGTTAATTAAATTTTTCATTAGGTACATCTTCGATTAACTGACAACGCTACAACTGATTTTAAAAACAAAATTTGCATGTAACCTTATTAAAGATAGAATCAAATAATAAAAAATACGGGCTAAGAGCCAAGGTAAGGGAAGTCGCTATTGTGAAGCGTTATTACATTAGTATTATTTGAATTAATACACACAGTAAGTAATTAAATAATAATTTTTTAATTTATTTAAATTTAACCAAATTAAGAACCCGTTTTTTATTACAAAATATAAACTAACTCTGTAACCTATAAAAAAAAGTTAATTTGAATGGACTATTCTAGATTTATAATAGTCCTAGAGCTAGGAGTAAAATAAACTGCCTCTTAATTCCCTAAAGTTTGATAGTGACAGTGAAAATACGCATTAAATACAAAATATGGACGTCTGCCGCGCCAAGCGATCCCGCTTTTGAAACGGACGATAAAAATTATCAAAAAATGCCTTCAATATCGTCATTAATTACCAGATTGTGTTTTTGCATAATTATTTTGTTTAGTCATTTGTATGGTAAAAAAAATATTTGCATTTATAAAACAGGCGCTCCGCAAGCTAAAATTGTATAATCGTAGGGTTGCCAGACATGTCCTCCTTTTTTGGCAATTTGTTAATGTCCGGCGGGCTTTTCTTTATGTCCGGCTTTTTCCAATTTAGGAATTTTTTTTAAATAATTTCGATTTTTATAATACTAAAAAGTGCAAGCTGAGACCTTTTTCTTTTTCATTTTTTTTTTTTTGTGAAAAAACGAGGTTTTGTTTGTACAATTGTCCTATTTTTACACATTGTCCATATGGCAACCCTATATAATGGTATAATTGGGGGAAAGTAAAAACATCAAAAAAATATGCGTGGCCTCTTAGGCATGTGGAACCTTTCCACTCCTAAATTTTGATTAAAATTGTACCATAAACAAAGACGAAAATGTTCCTAAAAACAAAATTTCTGAATAAATCATACTTGTCATATTTATATTTGGCTAGATTAATAGCAAAGACATTATCAAAGCAATGTCACATTAATTTAACCTAAATATTATTTTGAAAGTTATTAAGTTATTAAACTAAATCTTTTTATTGTCAGCGCGCCGAGCGCATTGGCTCTTAAAGTAAATCGAAATCACTTGAAAATAAGTTCAATGATTTAAACTTACGTACTTACATATTTTAATTCCTATCAACATTTTAATTATTATTTTGCCCTATATTGAAATTTAAAAGAATTTTATTTTTATTTTCCCTGTATACCACCTATATTTTACAATATTTAATATTTGATTGTAGATTCTCAAGTGATGCAGAACATTTTATCAGTATTTTTTTTTTGAAACAAATTTTTTTCTCATGTGTATAATTTTTTTTTGTATATCTGTATAATTGATTGCCACGTGTTTTGAAAATACGTCGTTAATAACAATGTCTGAATACACTTTGCTGTTAACGACCTGCTTCAAAAGCATAAGAGCAATCCATTACACAGTGTGTTCCAAAAAAGTTTTTAGACAAGTACCTACATGAGAAAGTTATATTTTTACAAAATAAAAAAAAAACAATTCTTGATAAAAAGAATATATATATATTTTTTGAAATTGTTTTTTTTTTGGCATAGACTCTTTTGTCATACAGTCATACTAGTGATCAACCACTTTGCAATGGCCAAGTAAACGTTCTTTGATTTTTTAAAAAAATTGAGAATTGGCAACGGCAACTATTAATGCCCGACAAACGAGCGATTTTTTATTTGGTACTCTTTACCGGCAAACCTTTAATAATTATGAGGCAGTTTATTTTACTCCCATCTCTAAGACTATTAATATTTACAAATATTACAAAAGTAATCATTTGGTATTTTAAAATAATTTTTGAATGACGTATTATTTTTACGATTGTCATTTTAAAAAATGTCTATTCTCAAAAAAGTTTTTAATAACAATATATTAATCAAAAATATTCTAACCCGTAGGTCATTAGGACGCATTTTTTCAAGACAATGAATAATAAAAAAGATGGAATTATTTCGCCGGCCGAAAAGAACCGGTAACCCAAAATGGACGTTGTTGTTTGTTTTATTTGTCGGAATATCAGCGACACACACTCGTCACGGAAATGGCGTCTTAAATCAACGCACTTTCAGATCATCGGACTATTGCAATCTCAGCAAAAACGACATCTTACAATGTCGCAACGGAACTACCAAAAATTTAACTATTCCCTTAGACACAGTTCACTTGGATTTGGAGTACGTGACAGGTGGGCATTTGGACGTAAAAAACATCCGCCATCTGAGATGGGTATACAGTTCTCTAAGAGTTATCAACGACTCCATCGTCAACCCACAGAACCTAGAAACATTAGATCTGTCCTACAACAACATAACAGTTTTAGTCGATTACCAATTTGGGAATTACGACAAATTAATAAAGTTAAATATAACTCACAATTCCGTCAACGATCTTCCCAGAGACGTCTTCAAAGGTCATAAAACAATAGAAATATTATTTTTATCGAATAACAATCTTAAAGCAATACCTTTTCAAGTATTTTCTCCAATAGAAGGACTACGAATATTAGATCTGTCTTATAACAGACTCGTGACGTTCCTCGATCATTTTTTCAGATTCAACAAATACATCGAAGTGCTGTTACTCAATAACAATAATCTCACGAAAATCACCTCTAACGCTCTAGCCGATTTGACCGATCTCAAACGACTCGATCTATCTCACAATTCCATTCAGTCCGTATCGAAGGGTTTGTTCGATTCGCTCGTCAACCTGGAGTACTTAAACTTGGCGAATAATCCTTTAGTGAGCATGGCTAGTGGTACTTTTAGAGGATTGGTTAATTTAAAAACTCTAAATTTAAGCGATAATAGAATATCTCAATTGACGTTCGGTTTGCTACACTTTAGTCCGCTTCTAACATCCCTGACTTTGGATAATACACTAATAGATGTTATACACAATACGGAATTGTTGGGTGTTCCGAAACTCACTGTTTTAAATTTAAGAAGAAATAAGAAACTTAAAGAGATAGAGACTTTCGTCTTTGCCGATACTCCTGCTCTGACCGAGCTGGATATTAGCGGCAACGATTTAACGTTCCTACCGCAATCCATTGCGAATTTAACTTATTTAACTAAGCTAAATATTAGCGATAATCCGTGGGCGTGCGATTGTCGCATGTTTTGGTTCGCCCCTTGGGTGGCTATAAAAAAGAGCAGTAACGTGACGATGTCGGATCTGAGCTGCGGACCCTACGCTTATCCTAACGACATGTTACCGACATTACAACATCTTAATTGCACGATACCCAGAGTAGTATTTAAAACACCTACTAAACTTTACCGGCTTAAATCGGATGCTTTATTGGAGTGTAGATACATTGCTTATCCACCTCCGTCAATAACTTGGGTCACGCCCAAACGAGAAGTATACCATTGGAATCCCGATCCGAGTATTCCGGATGCGTTTAATAAACATGCGCACGCTCATGATCGTTATATGACCCCGCTGAGAGTTATCCCACCTCGCATTCAGGTGCTCGACAACGGTACCCTTTGGATAAAAAATGTTACCAGAGACGATTGCGGCCGATATTACTGTTATGCCAGTAACCCCATAGCTAATTTGACAGAGAATGTACTGCTCCATATTGATCCCACAGATTGGAATCATGTCAGGATTATATCGTTGGTAGTGGGCACTCTGAGCGCAGCAGGATTCTTAGTACTAACGCTACTTGTCCAGCTTCTACGCTATTTGATGAATAAGTAAGTTTCGTTTTTCAAATACTAAAATAGGATGTAATTTTACTTACAAAATATCTAACCAAAGGTGCGTTCAGTTAGCCTGATTTTGTTTTAAACATTTAAACATAAATTTAAGGATTTTAAAACTAAACCATTTATACAGAAAATTTGATCATAAGCATAAGATTCGACAATTCATGAAAAATAAAAAAAAACCTGTAGTAGCTGCTTCTGAAATTGTTCTGCTATCTAACAAAAGAATAAAGTTAGGACAATAGCTTAGCCTATCTTTCAAACGCACATGTGTCATTGTATTTTCGACATTAAGTATTAAGTTGGATTTTATTTATTTATATTAATGCTTAAAACTAAATCAGGCTGACTAAAACATTTCCAAATTAAATACCAATTTTGAGTTGAAACCTATACCATATTTTTAGGCCATTTTAAGGCTATTTTTATACCGTATTCAAAAATGTTATGTTCCTCATTTTTTTACAAAACAAGGTGCTCTGCTAGCTTCCCTTGTTTTTTAAAGCGTTTTTCTAAAAACAACCACACCACATTTTTAGGTTAATTTTAGGTTTTCGAAATATTATAAAACTTTTATAAAAAAAAACGCTTATTTTCATATAATACTAGTTTTGAAAGAGCACCTAGTTTTTTACAGGTTTTTTATAAAAACAACTATGCCACATTTTAAGGCTCTTTTTAGACTCTTGAAATATAAAACTTTACGAAATTTTAAAAATATATATACTTCGAACGGAGCCAGCAGAGCACCTCGGTTTTTTTAAAGTTTTTTTCTAAAAACAACGGTACCCACATTTTTAGGCTCTTGAAATATTATAAAACTTTTCTAAAAAATGCTATTTTTAAATAATATAGAATGCTTTGCTAACACCTCGGTTTATTAAAGGTTGTTTTTTTTTTTTTTTTTTTTCTTAAAAAACTTGACACGTTTTGGGCTATTTTAGGTACTTGAAATATTAAAAAAAATGCTATTATTAAAAAATTCGAGGTGCTTTGCCTAGCTTTGAAACCAGGACACCTCGTTTTTTAAGATTTATTAATTTTTTCTAAAAATAACTCGTCACTTTTTAGGCTATTTTTAAGCCTTTGAAATATAAAACATGAAAAAATTTTGCTATTTTAAAAAACTCAGTCCTTTGCAAGCTTCAAACGAAGCCTGCTGAGTACTTTAATTGTTTTAAGGGTCTTCTAAAAAACACCGTATCAAATTTTAGGTTATTTTTATGCTCAAAACAACTATCCCACATGTTTAGGCAATTTTTAGGCTTTTGAAATAAATCATCATGAAAAAATTCCATTTTTTTTATAAATACTGGGAGTGCACCAGCTGAGCACATGTTTTTGAGAAAAATAAAACTATACCATATTTATAGGCTATTTTTAGACTCTTGAAATATTAAAATATAATCCGAAAAAATTTACCATTTTTTAAAAAATGGGTTTGCTGGTTTCAAAGTTTTTTTTTTTCTCTAAAAACTACACATTTTTAGGCCCTTGAAAAATTAAAAAAAAAAAAATTCTATTTTAAAAACATGGGTTATTTTGCTAACTTTGAATTAGGCTAGTAGAGTAGTTCAGTTTTTTGAGTAAAAATAACCAAAGCACATTTTTTTTGGTTATTTTTAGGCTTTTGAAATATAATTTTGCTATTTTTTAAAAATAAGGGAACGAAGCCAGCAGAGCACCTCGGTTTTTTTAAGGTTTTCTATAAAAACAACTATGCCGCATTTTTTAGAAATGTTTTGTTTCAAGAGCCTAAAAATATGGCGTGGTTGTTTTTAGAATAAACCTTTAAAACTATGGTGCTTTACTGGATCCGTTCGAAGTTGGCAAAGGTAATTTTTTTAAAATATGAATATTAATAATATTTCAAGAGCCTAAAAATAGCCTAAAAATGTGCTATGGTTATTTTTAGAAAAACACTTAGAAAGTCCATGGTGCTCTGTTGGCATCTTTCGAAGCTAGCAAAGTTTTATATTTCAAGAGCAAAAAAATAGCCTAAAAAACAACCTGTGCTCTGCTTGTTTCGTTAGCAGAGCTCGTTGATTTTTGTAAAAAACGAAGAGCATAAAATTGTTGAATAGTTTATAAAAATTGTCTAAAAATATGGCATTGGTTTCAACTTGAAATTCCCCAGCTGGTTTATTGCCTTCTTTGTTATCTAAACCAAACCTATTTTTAGATACTGTTCAAAATACAGTTAAAATGTTAATTAAGCTCTTTTAACTAATACGCTTTCAATGTTTTGAATAAGTAATTTTGTTTTTATTCAATTAAAGACTTATCTAATATAGGTAATTATTTAAGCAATTAATATGAACAAAAAAAAAACTTTCATTAATTTCATAACTATAGATTATTTACTTAATATTCCTAATTTTAATGAGAAAATTGAGGAAAATTTATATGGAATCGTTCTATTTATAACTTAGAAAAGCAAACATTTTCAATAAATTCTACTAACGAAAATATTTTTTCTGATAATAAATTTTGTTTGATTAAAAATGATATTATTTTCTTTTTTCAATTTAAGGTTCGGAATGTTCAACAATTTCTGCAGCTTCTGTAAACGTGATCGAGTATCACCAAGAGCAAGACAAATTTATGCGATGCTCGATAATATCGAACAATATAAAAGTCAACAACTGGAAAAACTGAAAGAAAATTATGCACAACAGGTAAATATTTGTTTTTGAATTTAAATTGTAATTATAGTTATACATGTTTTTCTAGGTTCAACGAATTAAAGACAACTGTGCACAACAAATGGAATGGATTCAGAACAGCTACCAGTCGCAAGCAAAACATTTGAAGGACTTTAGAGATATCGGTACTGCGCATATCAGTACGCTGAGAGGCCAATACTACGATCAGGTAAATTATAATGGATAATCGATTATTTTGGATTAATTTAAAAAATCGATAATCGATTGTTTTCGATTATGTTAGATTAATTGATTATTTCGGATTATTAATCGGTTATTTTCGATTTTTCGAAGATAATTATTATATTTGATTTCGATTCAAAAATAATCGATTTATCAATTACCGATTAATTTTTTAAAATCGATTTTAGATTATTTTCTTTTAATCGATTATTTTCGATTTCTCTTAGATTATTATTATATTCGATTTCTATTAAGGAACCATTTATAAACGAAAAACCCAGCTTGCTTTTAAAGTAAAATAATGTAGTGTAAAATGTTAAAACATACCATTTTAATAATCTTTTTTAAATGTATTTAATTTGGGTTTGTATTAAGCGTAGATAACAGCTTCGTTCGCGATAACAATCCTGAATTGTTTCAGAACTACTAATTTATACCTTGAGCGCATGTCCGATTCATTATCAATTCTATTATATATCGGTATTCCAGGTATAACATAAGCTGTTCAGAACCAATAATCAATGGAAATTAGTTTTGCCGTGAACATAGAAACTAGGGGGGGGGAATCGATTAAAATGTATTTTTATTAATCGGAAATAAACAATTCATCTGAAATAATCGAAACTTGATTTTTTTATAGGGTAGTATTAAAAATAGTTTTTCTTTAATTTATAATAGATTCGTTTGATAAAAAAAAATCATTTTTTACAGGTCAAGAAAGTTCGAGACTATTCAACGTCTCAACTGAACTGGGTGAGGGAAAATTACGTCTTCCAAAGAAATAAAATTCGGAAATTTAGCACTCATAAAGTACTACAACTAAGAGAAACTTACAAATACCAACAACAGACGTTAAATAAAGTACTCGAAAACCTTCCCAGTTTGTATTTTGAAAATTGCAGAGCCGGGACCTGCGGAAGGGCGGAATCGTTGGTGTTCGATCCTAAAGATGTGGAAAACGTAGACTGTTATATAAAGAGTAAAATAGAAAAGCTTGCACGACTGGATGCGAGTATCACCGATATGACACAGAGCAAGCTCTCCTTATACTACACCCCATCGGAGAGATCGCTAATGGAAAAATCACCCACCGAGATTCCAGCATCGATCTACATCAACTACATAGAAGAGCCCCCAAGAGGTATTTTAATGATGGAAGAACCCACTACTTCCGGTTGCGCAATGAACAGATTCGCAGAGAGTATCACATCGGACCACAGTTACGACGGATTACTTCACCACAAACATTTTAGAGAACCCGACAGCAAGCCGAGCCCCGCCTTGCCAGTAACTACAGTAGTGCAAACAGTGCAACACGAGACGTCTCTATAGATTTTTAATCAGCTGTGATATGAATGAACCGTCATTGTGTAGGAGCTGCCTCATTAGTGCCAACCTAGAAGCTGTCGAGCATTTAATTGCCAAAAAAACAAAAAAAAAACTTTAGTTAATTCTAGTGCAAGTGATGTTTGTTTTTTTGTAAGTTTAAAAGTGAATAAAAATATTGTGACTAGTCATTTTATGTAAAGACTGAGAATTTTCATCAAGACATTTATTCCTGAAATCCTACTATTAATTTGTACTTAAAAATTTCCTTCACAACGATTTTATTGAGCTATTATTATTACTATTATTATATTTAATACAACTGCAATATTTCAATTAGGATTGTTTCTTAATCAAAACAGTAGTGAAAATTTCTTAGGTTATGCTTCCAGAGATTAGACCCTTTAAAATTAAGTAATGGGATTTTTTTTAACTTTATTAGGATACATAGGAATAGAATGTGACTTGTAATAAATAATTGTTAATGCATCTGTTTATATTTAGGAATAATTTTGTTGGGATTATAATTTTAATTTGATAAATTTCAGTATAATAGGTAAAATCACATTTTTAATCGACAATTTAAAAATAATACTCCACTTGCCTTTCAACATTTCAAACAGTAAACCAAAAATTTGGAGTCGTACTCTAATATGAGGGTTTTAAAATGAAATAAGTAAATAACTATTTTTTATTAAAATCTTTGTTGTAATTCTCCTAAATGTGATTATAAATTGTTACATAGTGTCATTTAATTAATAAAAATGTATAATGAATAACGAATTGTTTTATTAATTTCCAAAGCAAGCACATTGATGTACTAAAAAGTGTAAAAAACGAGAGCAGGTTCTAATTTTATTAGATGAAACTAGAAGTGATTAATTAGGGAACTAAGAACACGATTTGGACAAGATAATATTATCAGTCGAGATAATTTTAAAACCAGAGGCATAACTTGATAAATGATTAGAGGATATTCCAAATCTCACAAGAAAATTTATCTCTAATGATTATGTCATTGTTATGGAAGGAACAAACTACATTCTCAGAAACAAGTATCCAAGCATTAAGAATATTATAAATTAAAACATTGTACTCATACAAATATATTCTTATCGATACCTATTCTTAAGGCTGCTTTCGCGGTTCACTATTTTAGCATTATCCATGTATCTTAGTTATTTATCATCAGTATAATTTAATTTTTTGCTGAAGTATTTACAAGAAACACCCTAATAATCTCTAGTCTTTTAATTTTTTTGTTACACCATAGTTTTTTAAATAAAAATGAATATTAAATTTTATCAATTTGCAGATATCAATTTTTGGAAAACTGGAGTTTGTAGCTGATTTTTTTTCTATTTATAAGTTTCTGCTAAAATCAAAAACTAATTGAGCTCTGTAGTAAATTGTTTTCCAATAATATTTTTATTTCGAACTTGTGTAAATATTTCCCCCTTTATCATAAACCTGTAACCAACGGTAGCCTGGATTAGCAAATATAAAGTGATTCGGCAAGGGTCTAACTCGCTCTTTTGATTGTAAAAATTTAGTACGATATATTTTTTATGATTTGTTACGTGTTGTGTAACTAAGTATGAAAGAAAAGTCGTACAGTTACTAGCAAAAGGTTAGGCTATTTTAATTACTAACACCCCACAATGTCTTTTCGACAATACTCAGCTTATAATGAGTTGGTAAGTAAAAGTATTTTTGAAGCAGCTTGGGAGGCCATGTAACAAGCAGGACTGGAAGAATTGCAATTAGCAAAAGATGTTGGAGAAGTAGATGAACACGGAAATGGTCTAATTGCAGTGATTGTTGACGCTGCATAGTCTAAGCGGTCATATAAAGTTAATTATAACGCTTTATCTGGAGTTGGTAAGTTTATATTTTAATATACGTGTGATCCAAAAACAATGTTTCTAAAGTAAGCCATGACCGACAGAATTATGAAGAATCCGTCATGACATAACATATAAAGGGTTTATTTTTAAATGCACTTATTTTTTATAGGCTTGCATTATTGGGGCGAAAACTAGAAAAGTTTTGTACGTTTCTTTTAAAAGTAAGTATTGTCCTATCTGTGCTTTAACTAAAAACATAAAAGCTGCAACTCAAAAAATTGGGATGGTTCGTCGACTTCTATGGAATCGGAACTAATTTTAGAAGGATTCCGTAATAGTATAAAAATGCACAAATTAAAATATGTAAAAATTATTGGCGATGGAGACAGCAGTGTTTACCAAAAAATTTGCTTTGAGAGACCCTATGGAAGAACAATGGTCCGCAAAGTAGAATGCATAAACCATCTTCTCAGGAATTATTGGACAAATTTGAGTGATGAGAAAAAAAAATACAGTTCAAAAAACAAAATAGTAAGTCCAGGACTAAAAAAAGTTTTGAGTGATAGAATTTTGAAGTTACAAGTGGGAATTAAATCGGCTGTAAATTACCACAGAAAATATACCAGTGATATTCTTGACAATGTGAAGCAATTAACTCTCCTTACCACACATTTGGAAATCATTCAAACTGTGCACAATATATTTGTAAAAGAGAACAAAACGATAGAGATTATGTGCCACAAATGGAAGAATGAGGATTTATGGATGACATTGTATCTGCTGGTAATAGGCTGGTTCAAAACAGCCACAGTTTATTATTAAACATGACTAATAATGCTGCGGAAACATATAATTCAATCGTAGACAAATTTGTTGGAGGAAAGATAATTAATTTTGCAGTAAAAGGAGGATATAATGTTCGGTGTACAGTTGCAGCCATTTCTTTTAATATAAAAGAACTATATTCCCACTCTTTATAAAAAGCTGACAAAAAGTGTTCCTGGGATTCACACACAAAGATTGGTTACTCAAATAATGATAACGATGTTTTGGAACAAAAAAAACTGCAATTTTTGGATAGTTTACCAAAATCAATAGATGATATTTGTAAAATTAAAGTATCTACTAGAGGTCAGGCCAGTAATGATCTGTGGAAAGAACATCGTATTAATATTCTCACGGCTTCAAATTTTGGAACCGTTTGCAAATTACGAGAAAAAGACTTTAATAACATATTATTTTCATCTTTTTATAAATCAGTCGCTACAAAATGGGGACAAGATCATGGCGATAGAATAATTTAAAAATAAATATGGAAAAACGGTACAGGAATGTGAATTATTTATTTATGAAAAACATCCATACTTGGGAGCAAGTCCAGACGGCATTATTAATTAATAATAATGAAATAATCATAATTAAATGTACATGTATATTCTTGTTCCAAATTGACACCAGAAATGGGAATTCAAGAAAAAAAATTAAATACAGATGGCCAAATTAAATTAAAAAAAAAAAAAAGATAATTATTATTATTATCAGGTACAAGGACAATTGGCTATAACGAAAGCCAAATATTGTTATTTTATAGTTTGGACTAGGAATGTTCGTTAAGAAAATTGAGAGAGATGACATTTTTTGCTTATGTGCTGAACCAAAGTTAGTTGATTTTTATTTAAAATATTTAATAAAATAAATTGATGTAATTTATTTTTTTTTGTGATTGTATTTTCTTATGTGAAATAATTTGTTTCATTAAAAATAGTAGGTAATTAATTTTTTTTTTAAGTATTTAGTTTTTTTTGACCTATTTTTACTTTCAGTGAACAAACAAAAGATAAAACATTCGAAATGGAATCAACCGCATGGTTAATTAACAATAAAAAAAAAACTCAAAAAATCAAGTAAAATCATTTCTATCCGGACCTCTATGAAAGCGAAAAAAAGAGGGTTTTCAGTACCCATGCACTAAAACGGACATAAAGAACACCACATCAACGGACATGACAAGGATTAAAGGAAATATTAAACAGTATAAAAAAGGGTTTTAACTTATTTTAACAATTTCAATGACACCACAAACTTTGTACTAAAGAATTGTCGGATGTAAACTCATTATTAAAAAAAAACAGGTTTAAATGACAAAAAAAAAATATTTTACCAATAAAAAACTACTGAAGAAGGCACTGGTCAGTGCCGAAAGCTATAACCACACACAAACACACGATTTTCATTTTCTACTAACACCTAAAAACCCAAGCGCTACAAGAAAAAAAATTGTAAAAATCAAAAAGGATTTAGATTTAAATTCAAAAAATGAAATTAAAAATTCCAAAAAATCCCAGAACCAAAGGAATGTCCCACTAACAATAATTTACCATCCTCGCTTGCAAACCTTTCTTCGTGCGCGGGCGTGTGTAGTGGAAACTTAGTCGTCCCAAGAAGTGCATGTCATTGTTCTTAGCGTCCTCAGTGTAAGCGTTTAAACATAGAGAAATTTTGTTTTGTCCAGCTAATATTTTAAAGTTATTTTTGACGGATTCTAATAATTCAGGTAAGAATCAATATTTCTTGATATTTTAAAATTATTTTTAATGTTATTTTATGCTATTTATATAACAAAAAAAGGTTATTTTAATAAAGTTTTTACTTACTTTATATGTTTATAAGACATTTTGTTATATTATCGCGTCCTCTCGGGCAATACTTGCTATTGTATTATATACTTTTATCCACTCCTATTAATTTATATACTAATTATTCAACTGCTTTTGAGCAATTAAGGAGGTCCGTCCTTTCGCCACACCTCTCGCCTCAAATGTTAAAAAAAAAGTTATTAGATTATGACTAAAATTAATTTTTTTCTAATAGTTGAAGTCCTTATTTATCTAATACTGAACTTTTAACTATACCTTAGGGGGCGTCCATTAATTACGTGAGGTGTTCAAGGGGGGGAGGGGATAAAACTAAATCTTTCTAAATCTCACTTGGGGGGGGGGGGGGGGGGGGGTTTTCCGTAAATCTCACGTAATTTTTTTTCTAGTAGAAAGCGGTGTAAAATTGCGTGAAAGTAAAGTTAAATTATAGTAAAAGTATTTCTAGAATAAAATATGGAAAAATCTTATAATTATGTTTATTTATTTTTTATTAATTTCCATTTAAGTATTTATCATTTAATTTTATTAATGTGATTTTAAATAATTGCAACACTCTCAAACACTAGTCTTTGCTAGTCTTAAATAAAAGTAATGGAACATATTGTGTTTTTGTTTTTTTTTAATAATCCAACACATTTACACCCAAAACACGAATTTTGAAAAATCTCACGTGAGATTAGGGAAGGGGGGAGGGAGTTAAGGAAAATCTTACCAAATCTCGCCAGGGGGGGAGGGGGAGTCAAAAAATACTTAAAAATACCTCACGTAATTAATGGACGCCCCCTTAGGTGTTCAAGGGGGGGAGGGGATCAAGGTAAATCTTTCAAATTCTCACTTGTCGGAGAGGGGGTCTTTATAAATCTGACGTAATTTATTTCTAGTAGAAAACGGTGTAAAATTGTGTGAAAATAAAGTTAAAGTAAAGTAAAGAATGTTTCTAGACATTTTATATTACGGCAATATTCTCAAATACTAGTCTTTGCTAGTCTTAAATAAAAGTAATAGAACATATTGTGTTCTTGTTTTTTTTTTAATAATCCAACGCATTTACACCCAAAACACAAATTTTGAAAAATCTCACCTGAGATTAGGGGAGGGGGAGGGAGTTGAGGAAAATCTTACGAAGTCTCACCAGGAGGGAGAGGGGGTCAAAAAATCCTTAAAAATACCTCACGTAATTAATGGACGCCCCCTTACCTTGAAAATTTTTGAGAATTTTTTTTTTTAAATGTGAGTATTTGTACAGTGCCTCACGAGAAAGTAAGTCCTCAACAACAATTCTCGAATTATACTATTATTTATTGATTAGATGGAGTAGAAAAAAACTAAAAATAAGGTTTTTGAAATATTTAGATTTTGTTTTATACAATAAAATATATATAGTAAACCGTGGAACTTATTGAGAAATTAATATTAAAAAATCATGATTCCTATACTTTCCTTATATCTGTATACAGATAGGAAAGTAAAAATCACAAAAAATTTTCAAGTAACCTAGTTGAACATTTTTTGTGATTTTTTAATAATAATTTCTCAATAAATTCCACGGTAACCTATATATTTTATTGTAAAAAACAAAAACCTAAATATTTCAAAAACCTTATTTTTAGTTTTTTTCTACTCCATCTAATCAATAAATAATAGTAAAATTAACTATAATTCGAAAATTGTTGTTGAAGTCTTACTTTCTCATAAGACACTGTACAAACACACACATTAAAAAAAAAAAATTCTCAAAAATTTGCACGGTAAGGTATAGTTAAAAGTTCACTATTAGATAAATAAGGACATCTACTATTAGAAAAAAATTAATTTTAGTCATAATCTAATATTTTTTATTTAACATTGGTGGCGAAAGGACCTCCTTAAACAAATAGCGTGAGTTTTAATAGTGAGTTATTAACTCACTCTGGGCTCCTACGATAATTCAGTATGTAAATAGTGTGCGCAATAAATACTTGGAAATTTTAAAGCCGATAAATACGCTCTATTGGCGTAAAATGTTAGAAACATTTTTTAACAACTGGAAAGGAATGAATATTTAAACGATTTTAAAATTATTAAATTGCCAACGCCTCTCAGTAGGCGAAAAAGTCAATTATTATCATTGAGGGAGTAATATCATTTGATATTTTAACAAGATAGTTTTGAGGTTTTCAAATAAATTTCAAATAATAGTGCTAAAAAATGAATTTAGTGAAGATTAGTTATTATGTACACCTCCAGAAATAAGAGAAGTAGCTAATAATGCAATACAGAATTTATTACCAGAAAAATAAAAAAACAAGTATAAAGGCGTATACAAACATTTTCAAGATTGGTGTATCAATAAGAACGTTAACTCGTTTACAGAAAATGTACTTTTAGTATTTATTGTTATAGTCGTAGATAAAGTATATATAGTATTCAACTTGCGATAATGGTCATAACTAACTTGAAGAATTACAGCACTCGCCTGTGGCTCGTGCTGCAAACTTCATCTACATGAGTTATGACCTGCATTACCGCTCGTTAAATAATATATTATTATACCTTGGCTAATTATTGACATACAATTTGAGTGCGGATAGGTGCGGATGACCAAATTGTTTTTTTATGGATGACAAAAAAATATTTTTCTAAAAAATGAACTGAACTGCGATTTTCTTTGTTTTAGGTATACCTGGTACCTTGGGTACAAACACTGTTAACCGCAGATTACTTTACTATCAAATACATCAACAAGAATTGCCTAATTTGGATGAAAAACTTAATATCTGGAAAATCACCTCATGACCTGTTATAGTGATAAACCAGATAATCTAAGCAGTTTAAAACAAATATTTGCGTACTTTAGAACATCAATGAAAGAAAAATGGTCTAAAACCCACAGAAAAGAAGCAATATTTCTTGGTTAGAAAGAATATTTGAACTTTCAGCAAATAAACAAACTTGACCAGGTCGGCCTTCTTAATCATTTGATTCGACCATGCATACAATATTAATTCATAGTGCAGCTCAGTGGCGGCTGGTACATAAGTGCTGTAGAGCTGCGGAACTTATGAATAATTTCATGGATACTCTCATTAATTTTAAATAATAAATAGTATTCATAGTGCGCAAACGTATCTTACTATCATTCCATAA